ATAATAATGAAAGGGTGCAAGGTCAGATTCTGAACCTGTGAAACCTTGAAAATTATAGGCTTGATTATTTTTTTATATCTATTTTTATAGTCCTGGAAGGTTGAGTGTTGCAGGATTAATTTTACAATTGCAGACATATACTGATACATTTAGAGTTAACTTTATAAATACTTTGAGCAAGGGGGAGAGTCCCAAGTTCAGCTACAATACTCACTGGTGCTGGTGAGCTTTCCCTCCAGAAATGCTCACAATGAATTAGTTATGAATTAACTGGCATGTTATTTAAGTCCTCACCTTCAGGTCAAATTCTAAACTTAGAAAGCAGTAAAGGCACGACCACGTTGAGTAAAAAGGAGTACAGAACATACCAGGTAAGTTGACAATTAAACCTCAGTTATGGGATATTATTGGGAATTTGTCTAAGATCCTTTTGAAAGCATAATGGCTGTGCTGGACTCATTTACTTGCAAATTCTTAAGATATAACTTGCATTTTAAAACTGCCTTCTGTAAGTTTCCACAACACTCACTCCACCTCTGTGCCTATCCACATGGCACTACTGGTGTAATATAGAGTTGGGGGAAAATATAACTACTTAGGATAAAAACTTTTAAACTAGAGCCTCTAACTCAGAAGCTTGACACTTGGGTATCTTGTTGGGTATTAGTTTTGTCCTCGGAGGGGAAGATCTGTTCTTGGAGAAGGCTGGTGTCTTGTTTCTCTTCCAAGATTATTAATCAAATGTTAGCTAAATATAGACTCTTGTCTACAGCAGTGGGTAACAACTTTTTCAGACTTGAGGCACTGCTGCATAGACTTGCTTTCATAGACTGCTGCATAGCTCTTAGCTTTCTTTCACTCTTTCTGACTACCAGAGCTGATTTTCTGCTGCGGAGAGCAGAAAAACTGTGGATTTATATTTTAAATCTCTGGGTTTATCTTGTGAATCCTGTTTGTAAACAGTGCTAACATTGCATGGCAGTCTTGAAAGGCTCTCAAGGCATCCCATAGCCCCCTGGTTAAGAAGCACGTGTCTAGAGGAAGCAGCCCAAGACTCAGCTACCCCAAACCATGCTCTTGAACCTAACCTGGCCTGTCTCTTCTTTTTATTTCTTGTACCAGGCTTTGTACCAGTTTAACTGTTTTGGTTGTGGAGCTAGGATTTTATGCAGGTTGAGTTAAACCAGTACAGCCCCTGTGCTGGAGACTTAGTGATGCTTCTTTAATTGGTGGAGATGAGTCATGCTACTGTTAACGCCTTCCTCTCAGCAGAGTTGTGCTCCCATCCAGGTGCTGTCCTTTTCTAATTGCACTTTCCCTGGACTGCTGCTGGGGGCCAGCAATGCACGGGCCAGCCCTCCAGCCAGGTGCAGCGAGGGGATGGGGGAGGCTGGGCTGGATTAACCTTTTAGTGAGCCCTAAGCAGACAAACTCGTGGACCAGTCAAGACCCCAATCCCCACCCTGGTGCTGATGCCCATGAGAAGCAGGGCTTGGAGCCGCTGCTAGTTGTTAGGATGACAATATTTGGATCTTGGGGAGCACTGGATTTGCAGCTGAAACAAGGCTTTAACCTGTGGCCTAGCAAAAGCTGCTAACCACAAGGCAGAATGATATCTAAGCCAGCTATCTGCTTATGCTAAGTAACCATCTTAACTGTGTTAACCATTTTTCTGAAAAAAAGCAGCGATTCTGAGTGAGTCTGTGTGCTGTGAATGAGATGAAGCTTTAGGAATGTGGAAGATGGTACAAATGGAACAGAAAAAACAGATTGGACTGTGAAAAAACAACACATAATTGGTGACAGAATCTGAAAGGGAAGGTCTTGGAAAAGATTATCAAAGAGGCCATCCTTAACAGACTAGCTGAAGGCAATATCCTGAGGGATACCCAGCATGGGTTTGTTGCGGGTAGGTCTTGCTTGACCAGTCTCATTTCCTTTTATGACCAGGTGACTTATCACCTGGACAAGGGGGAAGAGATCGACGTTGTATAACTTGACTTTAAAAAAAATCCTTTGATCTGGTATCCCACGATCACCTCTTGGCTAAACTGGCTAACTGCGGCCTTGACCTCACCACGATCTGCTGGCTGGGGAATTGGCTCCGCTGTAGGACCCAGAGGGTGATGGTTGACGGGAGCCAATTGTCTTGGTGCACTGGGACCAGTGGGGTCCCTCAAGGCTCTGTCCTAGGGCCTATACTGTTTAACATCTTCATCAATGATGAGGACATTGGTGTCAGAAGTGGACTGGCCAAGTTTGCCAGTGACACCAAGATTACATTACAGATAAAATTGTTCTGCATGCATCCTGTAAAACAAATAGTGATGGAAAATAAATTAGAAGTTTCTAATAAATTAGAATTCTTCATGCTAGAATTGCTAGAGTACAGAGCAAGAATAAAGTCATGTTGACTTCAGCTCCATTTACACTTAAAAGAGGAATAGTGAGTGGATTCATGAAAAAGTAAAATAAGAAATGAAAGTGTGTGTCAAACCAATGTGATGCTGCGGCTTGTAAAGCGAGCAAAATGCTGGCTTGCATCCATAGAAGCTTCTCAAGCAAATTCTGGGATGTCATTCTCTTGGTGAGGCCGCAGCTGGAGTACTGCATCCAGTTTTGGGCTCCACAATTCAAAAAGGATGTGGAGAAGCTTGAGAGAGTCCAGAGGAGAGCCACATGCATGATCAGAGGTCAGGAAAACAAACCTTATGATGAGAGGCTGAGAGCCATGGGGCTCTTCAGCCTGGAAAAGCGCAGGCTCAGGGTGATCTAGTGGCCACCTATAAGTTTATCGGGGTGCTCATCAGGATCTGGGGGAACGGCTGTTCACCAGAGCGCCCCAAGGGATGACAAGATTGAACGGTCACAAACTCCACTGAGACCGATTCAGGCTGGACATGGGAATTAACTTCTTCACTGCTCGAGCCCCCAAGGTTTGGAATAGACTGCCGCCAGAGGTGGTTCAAGTACTCACTTTGAACGCCTTCAAGACACATTTGGATGCTTATCTTGCTAGAATCCTATGATCCCTGCTGACTTCCTGCCCCTGGGGCAGGGGGATGGACTCAGTGATCCTTCAGGGTCCCTTCCAACCCTAATGTCTATGAAATCTATGAAATAAATATATGCGAAAAGGTGAATGGTGATTGGTGAAGAAGCTTTCAGGTTTTGATCAAAGTCTGCCCATTGACCAAAGAAGAGGCATCAAGGTCTTAGACATGCGCTTATAACAAAAAGGCATGTAAATGAATGAAATGAATAGGCAGTTCCATGCTAATGAGGTGAACAGTAAACAGAGGCGGAGCTTGAGATAGGAGGGAGAGCTGGGTGGAACAAAGGAGTGAGGGTGGAGTGAATGTTAATGAGCATGAATCAAGGCGTATAAAATGGAAAAAGAACTATGGTTCACTGCAGGTCCCCTGGTTCACGGGCTGTGTGTCTGTGAGGGACCTTGTCCGAAGCTGTCTCCATTCTAAATAAAGCTGTTGCGAGCAATGCGTGCTGGTGTTTGCTCCCTGCTTGCTCTGGCTAATGAGTAACAGGACCCATGAGCCATTAGATCGTCATCTTCCTAGTCGTTGGGCGCCACACGGAGTCGGAGTCTAACACTAGGAAGCAGCCACCACGGTGGTGAGGCCAGCGGAGGGGAGTGGAAGGGAAGAGAAGTGGATGGGACCATTCGCACCCCTGCCACCAAGGGAAGGACCAGGGCCCCTGCAGCTCAGGGCCCTAGGCATGTGCCTACTTTGTCTATACGTTAATCCAGCCCCAGGGGGAGGGTCTCTCTTCTTGTATTGGCTTTATGATAGAGCTGGGAAGGAAGCTGGACAAGTCCCCTGCCCCTCAGGTCTCAGAAAGGAGTGCCTGAGCCTGGGTCCTGCCCCATCCCCTGACTGCTGAGGTTACCAGCGGATGCTGCACAGCCAGCCCCAAGCCCCCTCCCCGCCCTTCCCGAAGCAACATGGAGCCCCTCCCTTTCGTGCCAGGGCCGCGGCAGAGATGCACCCAGCGGTTGACTCGCACGCTGACGGGCCATTGGTGCCCATTGGGGGTAGAAGGGTCCTTGCACAGGGGGTGGGGAGAGGGCCTGGGAGCCAGTGTGAGGGCTGGGGGGGGTGTATGTCTATGAAGGAAAGAG